GACATCTGATTTTTTCCCGCTCCATCTGCGACGGAAGCTGGTCGAATGAGTCGTGTCGCGCTGAAGGAGCTCCAGGCGCAGGCGCCCAGCGGTCCTGGCAAGAGTCAAAATGATGAGGCCCCCACCGTGGAGCCCGTTCGCCTGGCCCCAGCTCCTCCACCCGTCCGACTCATCCCTGCTCCTCCACTCCCGCGCCGCGATGGCCCAGCACCCACCTATGCTCCTGGCGGCGATGGCTGGGGAGACGCCGCGGACGGGCCTGGCGGAGCTGCATTCTCGTCAACATCACGCCGGCCCACGACGCCGCCCAGGCGTCCCGACCTCAACAATGATGAAGATCGCGGCCGTAGTCGGAGTGCCGCGCGCGAGTGCCGCAACGTCCACGCCTGGTGGCGACGCGGGCTGCGGCGCTACCGGTGCGACGCCTACCGCTGCTGGTCGGGCCACCTGAACCAGTGGGTTTACATCGACGGCGAGGACAACGAGTGCATCTGGTCGTGGGACAACTACCAGACGATCACCATCAGTTGGTTCAACAACTCTGGCAACCGTGTTGGGGGCAAGCGTTACTATGAAAGCTGGAGGCGAGTATTGACTTACATATTTTACCGCGTATCTTGATGCATGTATTTTGAGATCCTGTTTTGGTTTGGTATCGTTACATATATTATGTAGGATACGTTTGAGATATTCTGCTCAATGTATCGTTTGATGAGATATTTGCTTTCACACCGCATATTGCTCCGATATTTGATCGGCATACGCTGGCAATGGGACATGGACGTGCCCAGACAGGTCGTCCACCAGATATTGTATTCCGCAAGCGTCATATTGACTTACGTATTTTTTGAGTCAAGGATACGGCGTCAGAGAACGACCGATCCATAGCACTCTTCACGCACATATTCCTCTTACTTGTTGGGCCTGGCGTGCCTCGCATAGTGCGTGCTATAATCTCAGAGATTAGTCGTCATCACTACTATGCTGCTACTCATCAGAATTGGGCCTGGAGTGCCCTCGCAATTTTTTGGGCCTGGAGAGCCCCGTGAATGAGAGTTCTCTTACCTCGATCGAGTTATCGTCGCAACTCTGATCCGCATCACTTCACGCCGTCTGCGCGTCGGTGGCAGCGCTTGCATCGAGGGATGCTGGTGCCACCCATTATGGTTCTCTCTTTTCCTTGCTCTCCTGGCCCTGCCACCTGCGGTGACGGAGAATCGCCCTGGGGTGCCGAAGCGTTGTTGGGGGGCGCGCCCAGGGCCAAGCCGGGTAGATACTCCTAAGTACCCCGTGTGGTGGGGTTAATTATCTCCCCACCTTCCTTGCCAGTGTTCCCTCGTTTGGAGGGGCGGTACATGTGGCGGGGCTGCGAGTGGACCTCGCACTCCTGTTCCCGATCCCTGCCGTTGTCCCCCGCGTGCCCGAGGTCATCGGGGGCTGGCAGGTTTCGGGGCGGTGTGTGTGTGTGTGTGAAACCCGCTCGATTCCCCATCGCATCCCTTCTGCATTGGCATGCTGCCGTGGTGCACTGCTTTCTGCGCAGTGCCGAAGATAGTGAAAGGATGCCGCCAGGGACCTCGCATGAAAGCCCACGAGCCCATGGAAGTGGGCCGGCTGCCCGGCGCAGAGGCAGACCGATCGCCGACGAGGAGCCGTCGAAGACCCAACAGGACATGCTGGACGCTCGGCAGGATGTCCTAGACGCCTTCGGTCAGAGGCAGGGCCAGATAACCACTCAGAGTCAGGTGGTAGCCAGTCAGCAACGCCATCGCGCACCTCCAGTCGCGCGCGCAGCCCCACGGGTCCGCTTCGGGCCAGATTGCAGCTGCGGAGGCGACCCCGAGCGGCTGGCATAACGCGTCTCGCCTCGCGCTTTCTGAGCAGGTCCAGGTCGCGAAGACGGCGCCCGTGGGCCCTGTCTTCTTCAACCTCCCCTTCCAGGATGTTCAGAGGAAGTGGTTCGGGAAGGGCGAGATCTACTTCGAGATGCCGCTGGGGGGGCAGTTCCTGCTCGGGCCCATTGGAGAGGCGGTTCCAACGAAGAAATTGACGCGAAAGCCGCCAGATGCTACGACCTGAAGGGACTCGCCCGCGAGTGGAACCTCGCGGATCAGCGCGCTCAAGCCATGCTGCGCGCGGCCGCCAGTGATCTGAGGTGGGAAGCCAATTTTTTTTCTATCTGCCAGCGTGCTCAGCCCAACAGGGGGAGAGGACTGAGGAGATAGATTCCGGAACCGTTTGGATTCAAGACGGGGGAGGAGGACAATGCACTACTTCCAAGACTAGAGGGTCTGACGGAGTGTGGCACCTGGGGATGCACGGCCCGGGCCAGTGCGCCTTCCTGTCCGCGGGGGCAGAGTTTAACGATGACTACGAACTTGTGTTCCTAGGCATGCGACTATGGGGATTGCGAGAACGATCCGAGAAAACAGCTCCGAGGGGGCAGTTCCAGGACCGACGGCGCTCCTAGAGATCGAAGTACGATCCGCTCGAGGAGGAGCATCAGATAGAGGTGCGCCCCGCGACATTGCTTCTTCTGGTGATACCTCTCTTAGCTACTCGACGCTGATTGCGATGCCGCAGGGTAGTGCTGTGAGCTTTCGCGTGGATTTGTCGGCGGAGTCGTTTGAGGAAGAGGAGGATTGAGGTTTTTGATCGCGGTGCCCTGGAAGTGTTTTCCCTTCCCCGGGCGGGGGCTTCCCTGAGGGAAAGAGGATTGCGGTCCGGCGGCGGCCTCGATCTCAGGGCGGATTGGGCTTCCACCACGGTCGACCGCGGGGAGATAGTTCGGGCCAAGGTGCGACACCAGAAGCCCAAAATTGCCACGCCCTCGCCTCCGCGCGCTGTTTTTCAGCTTTTGAAGCGCCCGCAGCGCGCGATGGGCCCCGCAGAGAGAGTCCGCGGGCAGATTGAGGGGGGGATATTGCTGGCCTTTGCTGCCTCTCTTGCTTGGGAACATCGCAAAAGCGGCGGGAACATTGCTTTGGGGCACCCTGCCGCGGCAACCTCGTGGAAAGAATCGCTGTTCCATTCTCTCGGTCGCGCTTCGAGAGTTCAGACGATTGAGTTCGACATGCGTTGTTTCAAATTCATGGTGGAGGAAGACGGCGCTGTCTGCAAAAAGAGAACTCGCATCGTGTCTAACGGGCCCAGAGGGATAGAGAGTCTGCGCAGGCAGCAGCGCCAGGGGGGCCATCCGCGCACGGTTCTCGAAGGGGGATCCTATATTCGAGCGTCCCAGGCTTGCTCCCCCGAGCTCGTGCGCTGTCTGAGTGACATTTTGTCAGGGCTCTGGTGAAACGAAGTTATGCGCCCAGAGCGTCGGATCTCGCCGCCTGGACTCGGGGGCAACATGGAGAAAAAAGCTCGAGGAGGCCCGGGCCTCGACTCGGGTCAATGGAACTACCCCGTTGCCGCCGTCGCGGGCCCGGGAGAGGACGTGGAAGAGGTCGAGGAGAAGGAAGAGGGGAGGCCCCGCGCCGGCGAGGTTGACGCCATCTCGGCCGAACCTACATTGGAGATAGACACCAGAGCGAGGGAGCTCATTCAGAAACATCACGTCAACCTCCTACACCCTATGGACAGAGTTCCCATGTCCCGACTGCGCTGCCCAGCCGCGCCCCTGCCTCGAGATGGCGCGTGGCCATGCCCCGCGCGTGTCAGTTTAATCGGGTTGTTGCCGTGGGCTCTTTCTTTGTCGCGTTCGAATATCGGTCGACCGCTCTCCTAAGCTGCATCTGCCATGACACTAACTATCAGGTGGTGGCCGAGCACGACGGAGGGCGGCCTCGGCCCGGGGGGCTTCCGTGGCGAGCTGGATCGGATATTTTGGTCGTCCCGAACTGCTGATCGGCGACGGAGGGCCAGAGTTCCTGGCCGAGTTCGCTCGCGGGATAGAGCAGCAGCGGGTGCATCGGCATGTCGCGACGGCAGGGGCGCTGCGGCAGACAGGCAGATGCGAGGGGTGCTGGGGGCGGGTGAAAGATCTGATGGTTAATGGTTCCGACCAGTCCATCGTTTCTAGTGAAAAGGACTTGGGGCCCTTAGCTTACGAGGTCGTCTCGACAAAAAAGAATTACGTCCACCGGGGAGATTTCTCCCCCAACCAACTCGTTTTCGGGTGCAACCCAGAATGCCGCGGGACATCTTGTCCGACGACGGGGCGACTCTGGCAGGCCTCGACGACGTCTCGGATGGCTCCTGGTGCATAGACGCCGCTGCGGCGGATTTCGCAAAACCCATGGCCATCCGCAGGTGTGCCCAGTCGCAGCTCCTCGAGAACTCCAGCAGGACCGAGCTCCGAGAGGCTGCTCCAGCACCCGCCCGCCGAGATCAAACATATTCTCCAGGTGACAGGGTCTAGGCATGGAGGAGGGCTCCCAAGAGCGGCAAAAAAACATACGGGCTACAGCGGGACCGCTTGGCAGGACCCGGGATGGCTATATATATATATATATATATATATATATATATATATATATATATAAGCAGTGCCGGCACGTGTTTCTTCTGAAGTTTGATAGAACGGTGCGATCCCTTCTTTGTTCTGTAGCTGTGTGGGCTCAGCAGCAACTTTATGTCTTCTTGGTGGCCTGCTCTCACCACAGCAGGCTCCTGTCAGAGAGAGGCCCTCGAGGCCTCATTTTATTGCTTCGGCTGGACCGCGAGCCTGAACGGAGCATGCACCTCAGAGGGCATCTTAGTGGCTGTTATCCTCGCTCTCGGTGCGGCGTTGCTCTTCATATCAGGGTGCTGCTGCGGAGTGGTGTCCTCCGCTTTCTTCCAGATCATCTGGCTTCAGTTGCCTGGATTCTTCGAGAAGAGGGCGGCTCGTCGTGCTGCTCACGAGGCGGCGCCAGCGCTGTCATCGGCCCCAGCTCAACCTGTGCGTGTGCCGCATCAGGTTCTGAAGCCAGTCAAGCACTATGGAGCGGGGCACGAGAGTGTTCGTGAAGTACGTGGGTCATCCTATATGGCACGAACGACTTTTACTGGAGAAGGTGGGAGATTCGGCGACTGACTGGATCATCGCCACCCCCGACACCGATGTGTATATGGAGGACTTCAGCCGACACAACGAGGACATCGAGGGCTTCCGTCTATCCGACCGTCGTGGTGGAGGTCCCCACGGCATCGACCCGCAGGATGTCTACCGGTTCCGCCAGGAGCCAGAGGGAGCCCATCTGCAGGGCCTTCGAGATGAGGCCAGGTTGTTGGCGCGCTCTGAGGCTGCTCGCGGTGGAGGTGCTCCCGCAGGCAATGCCGACCTATGGTATGCTATCGAGGAGGCGCCAGGCATTCAGACGGGCAGCGTCGTTCGCCTCACTGAGGAGGCAGTCATCAGCGGCGACAGGGCGATCCACTTCTACGTGCATGACGGCGTGGAGAAGAGGGTTTTCTGCGTCAGATGCCCAGCTGCTGATCTGGCCGATGTGAAGAAGAAGTTCCGCATCGAGACGGACGACGACTGCGACGCGCGGACCCTGCCCATCAAGAGCGTGGCGGGCCAGCGCAAGCGGGACTTCAGCGACGCGGTCGAGAAGATGGAGCTCGTGAGTTTCTCGGACTGGGAGAAGCACATCCCAGGCCCGAGGACCACTCGCTGGTGCCTGGACTTCTTACGAAGGAGGAACGGGCCTCTAGCACACCACGAGTGGTGGAAGTCCACGGCCAAGCTGAACAGCGACGACTACGGCGTCTCGTTCCACGAGGCTGTGCTGCGTGCCGTGCAAACAGGCGCGGAGTACGATCAGCTGGACCTGGTCAACTTGGCATCGATGGAGCACTTGCTGCGCTCGGCCCAGCTGATCGAGTATTATCATCGAGAACGTACCCGACAGGAGGGTGCGGCCAGCTCCAAGACGGGAGTGGACATGGAGGAGCAGACGGTCATGCTGGGAGTCCACCAGAGCCAGGGCAACCTGATGATCGCCCCCGATCTGATCACGTACACGTCGAAGGAGCTGGAGCGGCAGAGTGCTATTGACAAGCAATCCCGCAAGGCGCGTGAGGAGCGCGCCTTGCGGCGGCGAGGATGATGATGAGCGTTGGCCAGGCTTTCCCTCGCGCCTGGCCGGCTTCGCGGGAGGGGGGCCGCGTCATTTCAGCCAGTGACGCGGCAGCGAAGGAGGCTGACTCTGCTCTTGGGCCTTCGCAGCTTCGAGGGTGCCGAGCTGTCCAGCGACGCTTCAGGAGAAGGGAGCACGTCGATGAGAAGGTTGCTGCCCTGGGTCGTGCACTCGCGGAGCTCGAGCGAGGTGATGGCCTTCCTGAGCCGGCTGAGGGCCACGCCTCGCTTCTTTCGCCTGTTGAGCATACTTTTTTAACCTCTCGGGTGCGGCGCATGGGCCGTCCACCAGAGGGGCTTGACCCTCGGGGGGCCTTGACTGAGCTCCAGGGGGTCGAAGACTACGCTCGGATTCCGTGCCACCTGGCTCCTTTAGATGTGGACAAGCTGTCCCTCCCGCAGCCTGGTTTCCAGCCGCGGCCCCTGGGCGACCTTTTGGGGGCCCGCGGCGCTGAGTTCATCAAGAGGATTTCATGTGATATAGTTTTGCCTAAGGAGCTGCAGCAAAGAAATCGTGAGGAAGCTGGTCTAGTTAGGCCGTACAGTGACCCACGTCTGCGTTCTAAAAGGGTGTACAAGTCTCTCGTGGCTCGCCTTCAGGCCGCGGGGCTCGTCGAGTTCAGTTTAACGGATGGAGTCCGAACGGGGATCTTTGCGGTTTGGAAGTCGGACGGGGTGAAGCAACGCCTCAGCCTGGACGCTCGGATTTCCAATTGTAGTTTTGAGGTCCCCGAGTCGCCCGACCTCCCCACGGCTAACGCTTTCTCGAGGTTGAGGCTCCAGGGGGGAAGTCTGTTGCACACGTTTTCCTCGGATTTGAAGGATGCTTTTTAAACTATGGAACTCCCCGACCCCCTTCGGAGGTATTTCACCATGGAGCCCCTCAGTGCCACGGACTTGCAGATCTCGGAGGTGTCTGGGGTCCCAGTGGATCCTACTACTCGTGTTTACCCGCGGTTCAGGGCTGTACCTATGGGGTGGTCGCACGCTGTCAATGTCTGTCAGTACGTCGTCACTTCGTTGATCCAGGAGGCGATCCCAGATAAGCACCACTTCCTGATCACGGATCGGGAGGTCATTCCGAAGTTGGAGGAGGGGGCGGTTATACCTTACGTGGACAACATCATTACCATAAGTACCAAGGAGGATAAGGGGAGGTCCATCCAAACAAAAATCAACAACATCATGGAGGAGAGGGGTCTCATCGTTCATGATAAGAGGTTTGATCCAGAGGTTCTCGAGGCCTTGGGTTGGGAATTCCGTCGAGATGATAGGTGTATTGTGCCGCAGGGGCGCCGCGTATGGCGTTTATGGCTTGCACTTTTTCACGCGCTGGAGCGCCGCCAGGGGACTGGACGTCAGCTTTCTCGGCTCGTCGGACACTTTGTCTCCATGGCGCTGGTGAAATGAGAAACCCTTTGCTGCCTCAACGCGGTCTACGCTTTCGTGGCTAAGCACCCCGAGGACTCTGCTCCGTTCTGGCCGTCGGTCGTTAGGGAGCTCCGCTGGATCCAGTCTTTGTTACCCCTCCTCGTCCATGATCTGGCCAAGCCTTTCAGTCCCAGGGTCCTGGCATGTGACGCCTCGATGTGGGGAAAAGGGGTCGCTCACAAGTCCCTCTCCGTGGGGGCGATTCGGGACCTCTCGCAGTACTCGGAGCGCTGGCGTTATCACGGGACCTCGGGATCTGCCAGGACGGGGGCGCTGGAGGAGGCTCTCGGCGGGGCGCTGCCTGCAGGTGAGTTCTTGGAGCTGAGCTTCGCCGACGAGGGGCTCGTGCCCAACCTACCGATCTCTGGGGAAGGCGAAAGTCGTGGGCTCTTGGGAGGCTCTTGGAGGATCCTACATCGTAAGAAATGGGAGCGCCGAGAACACATCACCGCCCCGGAGTGCCGCACATTGGTTTGGTGTATTCGGCATCTGACAAAATCCGTCTCGAACAGGTCTCGCAGATTCTTGATCATCAGTGACAGCATGGTCTCTATTTTAGCTCTGCTCAAGGGCCGCACCTCGGCTCCAGGCCTCGTGCGACCTGTCCGGCAATTTTGTGCAGTGGCCCTCAGAGCTGATGTTACGGCGGATCTCAGGTGGGTCGTCTCCGAGCTCAACCCAGGCGATCCTCCCTCGAGGAACAGGTCGGAGCTCGAGCCCTGGTCCAACACCCTCGACGCCCTCGCCGCCGCGTGGCAGCGTTCGCGAGATGGCAAGGACCCACATGCTCGAGAGCCCGATCCTGGTGCGAGACCCTCCCACATCCGCCGTGCGGCGCCGCCGTCCAGCGCGGAAGCGCCCGGCCGCTGCACAGCCCAGCAGGACGGCCATCGAGACCAGCAAGTCGCACCCCGACGCGGAGGAGCGCAAGAAGGCCAGGCGCTCCCTGCATGCCCTCGAGAGGAGGAGTCTCCAGGCCGTGAGCCGGTCCTTCCTCGAGCAGGGGAGTGTCTCTCGGACAGTGCAGCAGCAGTACAAGGCAGCGCTCGGCCGCTTCGTGAAGGATCAGAGTATCAGGGGCCTCTACGCGCTGGCCCGCACGCCCAAGGCGCTGGACCAGAAGCTGAAGTTCCACCTCGACGACCTCTACTTCGAGGGGGAGCTGAGTGGCGTAGCGAACACTCTAGTGGCGGCTATCCGGTGGAAGTTCCCACAGTTTGGTCGCCAGGGGGGCCAGTCCTTGCCCGAGACTGCCCGAGCGCTGATGGGCTTCAGCAAGCTCTCTCCGGCGGCCTCTCGGCTGCCGATCCCAGCGACGGTGGTCTTCGGCCTGGCAATGGTGCTGTGCTCGCTGGGCTTCACCCTCGCCGCCTTCGGGAGCCTCCTGGCCTTCCACCTCTACCTCAGGCCGTCGGAGTTGATGCGCATGAAGTGGAGGCATTGGTCCCCGCCGTGCGGGGCAGGCCGAGGAGGGACCGACGGGTGGTGTCTGACGTTGCACCCTCGAGAGGACGGCGTCCAGTCCAAGGCAGAGGAGTTCGACGAGAACATATCGATCGACGCAGACGGCCATCTCAGTTTCCTCAATCAGGTGATGTCGGTAATGCATGCCAAGGCGAAGCGGGAGGACCGCCTCGACGAGCTGGCGGTGGGCGACCTCGGCGGCCGCTCGTTCCTCATGGTCTTCAAGATGGCGGGCGAGCGGCTTGGTCTTCCCAAGCCGCCAGTGGCGCACCAGCTCCGCCACGCAGGTCCGAGCTACGACCTGGCCCAGCGGATCCGCCGCCTGGCCGAGGTCAAGGCTCGTGGCCGCTGGTCGGCGGACTCTTCCGTCAGGCGCTACGGCAAGCAGAACCGCATCAACGAGCAGATCGCCGCGCTGCCTGTCGCGGTGCGGGCCTTCTGCGACGACGCCTGGAAGAAAATCGGAGATGTCCTCTTGAAGCGTTCGAATCCCTTAGAGCTGCCGTGAGTGCTGGACAACGTCGTCTACCTCGAGTGGCTGTGGAGTTCTTCTCAGGCTCAGGCAAGTGGTCTTCAGCAATGCGCAAGAGAGGATACGTGACGATTGAAGTCGATGTGATTCATGGGCCCCAAAGTGACGCCACGAATCCACACCTCGTCAAGTTGTTTTTCCAACTCCTCAACTCAGGGGTGATCTGGGCCGTGCATCTCGGCACGCCTTGTTGGACTTTTTCTCGTGCCCGGGGCCGTGGTGACGGCCCAGGTGCTCTGCGCAGCTCAGACCGCCCCCGAGGGCTTGACGGCCTTCTATCGGCAGCCGACAGTGACAAAGTGAAGGTTGGCAACCATCTTGCCGACTTCTCAGCTCGTGCGTTTGAGCGTTGTCGCCTCCGACGTGTCCCATGCTCGCTGGAGAATCCGCACACTTCTATTTTGTGGTACCTTCCGCAATTTGTGAAGCTGATCGCACGTGAGGATGTGCGCTCAGATTACACAGACTTTTGCATGGACGGTAAACCTTGGAGGAAGAGAACACGTTTGATGACCACGCATATTGATTTATCCCGTGTGGTCCGCCAGTGCACATCAGTTAATGGGATATGCTGCCGCACTCACCGAGCCCATCAAACCCTGGAAGGCAAGAATGAGAAGGGGATTTTTTGGACCAAAATCGCGGAGCCCTATCCCTGGAGGTTGTGTTCCCGAATGTCAGCAGCTGTTGATGCCAGCAATGCCTCGTTGTTTACCAAGAATATGTCTAAGTTGCTGGTGTGACCCTCCCACCCTACCCAGAGTGCCAGATTGCATTATGCTCTTGAGTATTGCATACGGCTCGCCTGTCTGTTCGATTTCCTGCTGGGCGAGCGCCCAGCAATCCGACCAGGTGCAAAACGTTCTGATTCGAGCGATCGTGGTTAAAACAGTACAGAGACAGGCATCCCTCTACGTCGTCTTCTGGGGCTGTCGCCACTCCGCGGTATTCAGGGGGTCGGGGGAGTTTCCAAACCTAGGAGAAGATAAGCAGTGCCAGCACGTGTTTCTTCTGAAGTTTGATAGAACGGTGCGATCCCTTCTTTGTTCTGTAGCTGTGTGGCCCGCCCGCCACTCCCTTTATATAGCAGAGCGCTCTTGAGTATTGCATGCGGCTCGCCTGTCTGTTCGATTTCCTGCTGGGCGAGCGCTCAGAAATACGACCAGGTGCAAAACGTTCTGATTCGAGCGATCGTGGTTAACACAGTACAGAGACAGGCATCCCTCTGCGTCGTCTTCTGAGGCTGTCGCCACTCCGCGGTATTCAGGGGGTCGGGGGAGTTCCCAAACCTAGGAGAAGATATATATATATATATATATATATATATATATATATATCAACACAACAGCGTTGCATGAGTCAGCACGAGATCCAGGCCCTGGAAATTCGCTTCGGGACAACTTGGGCCCGCGACGGGCCCAGAGGCCAGGGGGGGCGAGCTTTTGAGCGATCCGGGGGTGCCCGAACTTCTTCGACGGGTCCAATCCAGGACCCAGAGAACGGGGGCGGACGCCGCCAGGGAGGGACCTCCGCCTCCGGAAGCCTGGCATGAACCCTTGGAAGCGAATCGATAAGATCAGAGTATTCGACTTCCCCCTCTTCCCGATGCCGGAAAGTTTCCGCCGTCCGTCGAGCCCGGTCACCTCGCGCACATTGGCAGCGAGCCAGGTGCTCTCCGACGGGGGCACGACGGTATCTCCGCCCGGTCAGTTGAGGGAGATCCAGCCACCAGCCTCCGAGGGGAGTTTTCAGGTTCCTGAGGTCTGGGGTCCACGGGCGTTCTTTCCAGGTCTCGAATCTTGGACGGTCCAGGGGGCCCCTCGGGGGTGGCCTCGCTCCCAGCTTCGGTGCCCCAGGAGATCTCCCCCGAGGCCGAAATGCAAATCGTCCAGGAATCCGAAGAGGCGGTGGCCAGGGACAAACAGCTGGACCACGGTGCTCCCGGGCCCGCTCGCCTCCGCCCGTCCTCCTGTGGCTCCAGATCCTCGGTCGACTAAATGCGGTGACCGCCTGTCGCAGCTGCCCGTTCCCACCGAGCTGGGCGCGATTCGCGACGGGCGCGTCGGACGCGTGGTGGCCTTCATCGAGAGGCAGACTTGAGTCCGAGACAGGTCCCGAAGTCCCAGTGCGGAAGACAGTCCGAGAGGGCGCCCAGAAGAGGACGATCTCGCCCTCTGGCCCCTCTCGCCGCCGCATCTGGATTCGCATTTTCGACTTTGTCAACTCAATTCCGCGAGGGGGATGGAGTGGGGATTGGACCTCCTTCATTACGGGTAACTGCGACGTTGAACTTATCCCCGGGGAAGGACATGATAGGGGATGCTTGACTCTGGCTACCTCTAGGGGGGGGAGATTTCTTAAGGGCCTCACGCGGGACGAAGCTTCGGAATTTGCCGAGTCCGACGCCGCCGGGTGGGCATCCGCTTCAGGAACTGGAGCTGTTAAGGTGCGCCTTCCAGAGGGGGGCTAGCGCCTCGGACAGGCCGCCCCGCCCCGCGTCGTTTCGTCCTGTATGGTCTGGGGGCGGGGGCCTCAGGAGGGGTTCTTCTCGAGGCCCAAGGCCAAGCGCCGTTCGCGCGTCGGGGGGCGCGAAGATGCCGATGCCCACGAGCTCAGAATATATGCTCCAATTCCACATATGGAGGCCCCGATGCTCTTTCTTGCCGTTTCGCTTTCCCTGGGGCACGACCTGATGACAGGAGATCTGAAAAACGCCTCCTGCCAATCGGGCCCCGTCGAAAGGCTTCGGGGGCGCGTCTTCGTCGAGCCCTGTCAAGGGCTGAACTTGCCCTCGGGGGGCCTCATCGAACTCGCCGCGCCGGTGCGCTGCCTAGACGATGCGCCCCTCGCGCTGCATCAGACAACCGTTCGGTTCTTCGAGAGTGCCGGGTGGAGACCAAACTAGAGCCCTGCTGGATGGTCAAGATGGGGTTCCGGCACAGGCCCAGACGCCATGATTCTCATAGAGGTCGACGACTGGGCTATATTCACCGCCCCTTGCTTGCAAGAGGGACAGTTAGAACAGTGTCGGAAGAGGTTCGCGTTCGGCAAGTTGCGAACCGTAGACGGGGCGGGAGTGGACTATTTTGGGAGGAGGATATGGAGGTTACGCGATCGGGCGTTGGTCGGCCAGGAGAACACATATTTTGGAACAGATCAAACGCATTGCATATCCCGCGGGGCCAGAGAGCAAAACACGAAATACTGCTGAACAGTTTCCAGAAGAAAGAATTTCGATCACTGCTATGTTGACTGAAGTGGGTGGGTCACGAGACCCGTCGAGAGGCCAGTGGGGCAGCTTCCCTCTTGGCCAGCAAAGTGAGTTTGCCCGACCGTGGGAGGCGCTCGTGTAGCCAACACAATGGTCGACTATCTCGGGGTTTCCGCGAGCCTGCCAGTTGCGATCTGGAAACGCCACCGCGGGACATGTATTTTTCTGGCGGCGTCCGACTGCGTGTGAGTGTGTGTGGGTAGGTTCCAAGAGCGGATGTCGACCGCAACGGGCTGGGCAAGTATGCGTGGCCGATTGCAGCATGGCTTCTGGGGGTCGAGCTCGCGTTTCTCCTCTCTCGTGGCGGTCTAGCAAGATACGGGGGCAAGTCCCATCCACGCTAGCTGGTGAGGCACAAGCCCTGGGCGCCGTGCTAGCGGAGGCAGAATGGCTCCAACTCCTGCGCCAAGATGTGGTGTATGGGGCCGTCCTCGATGAATGCTGGCAAGACAAGGCTGGGCCCTTCGCTGCTCTCCCTCGCCGAGGCCGTGCGCTGAACGCTCAGCCCAGTGGGGCTCTGGCCGTGGTCGATGCCAAGGGAATTTTCTACATTCTGGACAAAGACGCCGGGGGGCCAAAAAGGGCCGGAGAGTGGCAATGGACTTGGCCATGCGCCGGGGGAGTCTGTCACGACTGGGGGGGGGCCGTCCGCTTGCTGCGCCATCTGTGTATGTCAGTAGACGTGATGGCGAAGGCACGCGTCGGTAAGGGGAACGCTGGCCAGTTGCAGCTTCTCAAGATGGGCATGGTGAAATTGACTGCCGAGGAGGACTCATTCTCCCAGCGCCGACAGGACCCTTCCGCCAAGGCTAAGTCTCGAGCGGCGTCGTCTCGACAACTCCCGTCGTCGTCGTCGTCGTCGCCGGGTCGTGACCGAAGGGGGGGGGGGGCGGCGAGGGCTGAATTCCCCACTGTTTCGCGGCCTCTGGCCTGTGCCCCGAGCGAAGCGGCGCGGCTATTTTGAAGCTCGCGAAAGTTGGGCCGGCTGAGGAAGTTTCCAGCCTGAGCTTCAGAGGACTCTTGGAGAATTCTTTTCTCTTATTTAATTGAACGCCCCTGAGGGGGCAGGCGCCGCCGCCCCACTTTTTTTTTTTGGAGCGCCGAGGTTGCGCGGGGGGCGAATCGGGATGTAGCGGGGGTGGGAGAAAGTGGGGTCTTAAAGGCTTTCAGAAAGCCCCAAGAGGGCTGGGAAATGATCCAAAAAGACGCCATAATACCCTAAGAGAGCCTGGACATAATGTTTAAAGGGCGCCTGAGGGCGCGCAAAAGTGTGGACGAAAGGAAGAGGCATGCGGAGGGAGAGGCGTACAAACGAGATCCCAGTTAGTTCGGGGGCTTCAAAAGGGACTCCGGGAACCCCTGGGCGCGCCCAGGACGGCGCAAGAAAGCCCCAAAAATGTTGCCAGACGGCCCGGGCCAGGGTCGGGGGGCGCGGAGGACAGCCGCAGAGAGCGCCCGCTGATTCCAACGTGCTTCCAAGAGCCCGCGAAGACGCACGCGAGCTCGAAAACGAGGAAAGAATAGAGGCTCGACAAGGCCAGAATGGACATATTCATATGTGTTTTGCGCTGTTTTTTTCTTGGGGGGGGGGGGGGGGGGCGCGTGGTTTTTTGCAGTCGAAGTGGGAGAGGTGGGCGGGCTGCCAGACTGGGCCAAAATGGCTTGGAGGGCGGCTCAGATCGCCCCAGGAGAGCGTCTGGAGGCCTCCAAAATCGAGTCAGTGAGCTCCCGGAGAGGCCTCTGAGAGAGGCCGGCGGCGCCTTGAAGACGAACGTGTCCAACGAAGTGTGTTCTGAAGCGAAAATGATGGCCAAAGAGCGCTCATTCCGCAGCTGTGGCCCCCGGGCCGGCGGAATGAGCAGGCCGCGGGAAGGGCCCCGGGAGGGGTTGCAAGGGCTCTGAGGAATGGGCATTGGTACGAGGAGTTCGCGCGCGCGCAGATTGAGGGGGCTGAGTTCGTGCAGACCATGCGGCGGGGATCTCGCGCGCCATTCCCGGTGGGGCGGCGGATCGCTTCGCTCAGTCCGCCTGGCGCGCGGCTGTCGAGTGCCCGTGTGATCATTGCCAATGGGGTGCTGCTGCGTCATTTTTTGTTTATGGATGGCTGGCTTTGGGTGATTTCGCAGGCGGGAACCATTTTATGCCCGCCTGAACCTTCTGTTTCGGAAGGTGGCGGCTCGTGAATACGATCGCAGGGAAGAAGACAACATTCGGCAGCTTCCTTTTTGAATTATTCGGGCCCCTTGTCGTTTGTTGGGGCCTCCTAGGAGCCTCTTGGGGCGTCTAGGAGGCCTCTTGGAGCGGAAGGCTCGGATTTTCGGTTCGTGGTCTCCATTTTGGGCCTCTCTTGGGGCCCTCTTGGGGCCCTTTTGGACCGTCTTGGGCGCCTCTTGGGCTGTCGTGGGGCTCTCTTGGAGGCTTCTTGGGCCGTCTTGGGGTGGTATTGGAAGCTTTTTGGGCCGTCTTGGAGCGTCGGAAGCGCGAAAAGGCGAGGGAGCCAAAAATCTTGAAAAACGAAATGGGAACCAATGGTTTTGGCGCTCTGAGGCTTCGTGGACGTTCGTTGGGATCTCGTTGGATGCCTCTCGAGGGCGTCTTGGAGGCTCTCGGGAGTCGTTGTCGAGCCTCTTGGGGTCTCTTTCGGGCCCCTTGTCTCTTTTTGGGGCTTCTTGGGGGCCTCTTGGAGCCTCCTGGAGGCCTCTTGAAGCGGAAGGCTCGGATTCTCGGCTCGTGGTCTCCATCTTGGGCCCCTCTTGGGGCCCTCTTGGGGTCCTTTTGGACCGTCTTGGGCGCCTCTTGGGCTGTCGTGGGGCCCTCTTGGGCGGTCTTGGGGCTCTCTTGGAGGCCTCTTGGGCTGTCTTGGGGTGGTCTTGGAGGCTTCTTGGGCCGTATTGGAGCGTCGGAAACGCGGGACGGCGAAGAAGCCAACAATTTGGAAAAACCCAATGGACATCAAGATTTTGGCCTCTTGGGGCTCTCTTGGAAAGGGTCGGGTTTTTTTTGGGACGTCTTGGAAGCTTCTTGGGGCGTCTTGAGGCCGTGTTGGGCGTCTTGGGCCGATCGTTCGGTGATTCGGAACCCTCTTGGACCGTCTTGGAAACCTGTTGGGGCCCTCTTGGCGCGCTCCAGGGAACGTGGAAGGCCGCACCCAGGAGGAAAACCATCTCTGAACTGAGTTTGCCGGGGGTGTCCCGGGACATTGCCGGGGTACTTTTTGGCTGGGGACCCCAAGGGGCCGCTCCGCGCGCGCGAAGTATGAGTTATTGTTAACCAGTTTCCGGAGATCTTAGCACGCCTCTGGCCCGTTGGGCCGGCGAATATTTATATATCGTTATGTTTCGCCGTTTGGCTCAAGGGGCACCCTTTGCTTCACACATACCAGCTCCTTCGGCCAAAATGACCATCACCCGCTCGACAGTTTGCCGATGTTGGCGTGTCAGACAGACGGCGCGATCGATTTCGACGACGACATACGGATGACGATGACCGACGCCATGGTCGACGACGACGGGCAACATTTGTCGACGACCGGCGGCAATCGACGGCGATGGGCGGCGACGACCGCGGCCACGGGCGGCGGCGGAAGCGGCGGCGCCAGAAGACCCCGCCGGGCGGGAGCGCGCCCGGGGCCGCAGGCAGAAGACGGCCGCGGCGCAGACAAAGCAGCTGGAGAGGCGGGCCACCGCCGCCTGGGCGGCGCGGCGGGAGGGTTGGGCCTCGGTATCCTCTTTTTGGTTCTCGGCAAAGAAGAGACGAGGCGGTCCTCGGTCCTCGAGCGGGAAGTCATTGAACAACATCCATGGCAAACCTTGATTCGGTTTGGCCAGGCATGGTACGGAGTTCACGTACTGTGTCTTCCCTCTCCCTCCTCCTCCTCCCTCCTCCATCCTTCTGCCCCAGGCCCGCGTCCAGTGCGATCTGTATTGGAAGCGGCCGGCCGGCCATGTTGGATGTGCACACAACGCGTTTGTCCAGCATTTCTTCGCGTCTTCCCTTTCCTGTCCTCTTCCTCCGCCTGTTCTCTTCTCTTTTGCCTTCCTCCGTGGCTTGCTTGGGGGCAGGAGTTTGTCCACCACATCTGCTTATCAAATTGCTATTTGAAACACTGCCGGGAGCAATTACGTGTGCTTGCCATGCCGTGTTTTGTAGTTTTGCAGGTGCTTGCCTGGGGCGGCAATGACGTCAATTGTTTTGTTGCCCGCGCACGGCAGAACGATCCTCGTTTCAGGTGTTAGGTGTTTGGGCGCCGCTGGGCCCTTTCAAAAACCTTTTCTGGGAACCTCCCAAACCCGTTTTGTGGAGCCTCTCGGGACCTTCCTGGGTTCATTTTGTTGGTCATTGGGGCCACCTTGGGCCGTTCTGGATGCCTCTCAATTCTTGACGCTTCGCGCATCCCCCACCAGCCCATCCCAAACTGCGGCCCAGGCGAGTTGAGACGGTCAGGGAAGGGCAGGAGCAAAGAGGGGGACAGCTTTTAACGTTCGAGGGAGGAGGATAAGGAGGAGGAGGAGGAGCAGGGGTGATGGAGGAGAGAGAAGGCTGATGAATTTGCGGATGATGATGATGATGATGATGATGATGATGATGATGATGATGATGATGATGATGATGATGATGATGATGATGATGATGATGATGATGATGATGTGATGATGATGATGATGATGATGATGAGGAGGAGGAGGAGGAGGAGGAGGAGGAGGAGGAGGAGGAGGAGGAGGAGGAGGAGGAGGAGGAGGAGGAGGGCGAGCAGAATGATTAGGCGTTTCTTGGATGCCTCTCGGCGTCTCGCAGACTTTTTCTGGAGCGCTTGTATGCTCCTTGGATCGTCTCGGGAACGTAATTGCGGTTTCGAGACACTGTTGGGGCGTCTTGGATGCATTTTGGAAGTTTATTGGGGCATTTGTTGGAGGCCTTTTTGTCGGACCCAGGGGCGTCTTTGAGCGTCTTGGGTGCCTCTGGGATCCTCTCGAGGCCTCTTAAGGGTCTCTTGGGACTCCCTTGGAGACGTCTTGGGCGCCAGTTGAGGCGGTCTAGGCGCCCCTTGGGGCTCTCTTGGGGCGTTCTTGGGAGCCTTAGGGCGCTCTTGGGACCATCTTGGAGGAGATCGATCAAAGAAGGGGGGTCCTTCATTAGGGTCCCCCCATCGGGAGCCCAACACATCGCCTCTTGGACCCTTCTGGGAGCGCTCTTGGGGCGCTCTCAGGCGCTCTTGAGGCCGTCTTGGGACTCTCTTGGGCCTATGTTGGGGCTCTCTGGGGCCATCATGGAGCCATCTTGAGGCCTTCGGAAGCCAACGGGCGAGAAAGCAACAAACATGATGTTCCTTGGGTTTGGGGATGATTTTTGCTTCTTCGGGGCCTCCTTGGGGAGGGAGCTCTTTGGCCACTTGGAGCCGTCTTGGGACGGTCTTGGGGCCTCTTGGAGCATCCTGGAAGCCATCTTGAGGCATCTTGGGCTATCTTGAGCCATCTTGAATGTTATCTTGGCCTCTCTGAGGCCTTCTTGGAGCCGTCTTGGGCGAAAAAGTACCCTCTGACACCTCGCGACAGGTCCCGTCCAGGTCCAGGGGAGGGGGTAGGGTGAGGGGAAAACCCATCCCCGAGGGGGAAGAAGGGGGTTGGAAGAAGAAGCTCCCTAGACCAGTCACGCCCAGCGGGCTGGTGGGATTGCTGTTGTGCGGGGCGCTCCCAGAGAGCCCCCAGGAGCCTCCTTAGGAGCCAAACATTATGTGGGAGTGTTTTTGTTCCTCCCGGTTCCATCGATCACCCCTCTCCGCGGCAGTCGTCCCATTCTGGCCCCTTTTTGGGCCTTGTTTTGGGCCCCTCTCGGGGCCTCCACCAGCGCCCTTTCTGAGGGCTCTCCAGGCCTCATTGCGGCCGTCCTGGCGGCTTGTCGGGGCCGTCCTCGGCTCCAAAAACCGGGGGCGTGCCATTGAATACTTAATGAGTTTCGCGTTCTCGCCTCTTCGGGCTTCGACAGCCGAGGACAGCCCCAGAGGCCTGCAAGACAGCCCCAAGGTGGCCCAAGAAACCTTACAAGAGGGCCCATAAGCGGCCCAAGAGACCCCCAGGACGGCCATACATCGCCCAAGAGGGCCCAGAGAAGCCCCCAAGAGACCTCCGAAGGCGTCAGACAGAGAGCCGTAAGATGGCCCGAGAGGCCTCCCCAGAGGCCCCC